ACGACGCATTGCCAGGGCCTGTCGCTTCAGCTGTGTCGCTGGGCAGTTAATCCCTGTTTTGCCAGTCGTTACTGCGCTGGTTTTCCGTTCTTCACCCTTGCTTGCCTTCGCTGATCTCCGTAAATGATGTTAGTGGAAATGTAACCGTTCAGAAGGAGGCAGCAAAAAAGCTTGTAGTGAAAGCTTCGTGATGGGACCAATCGGTCTTACAGAGGAAGTGCCCAAGATCTTTGGACTTGAGCTTTGCAGTCCAGTTTTATGGTGGTCTCTTAAGACCAAATCTGGATGGAGAAGTGGAGTAATAGCCTGGAGGTGGGCGTTTGCTGCCATTGGCAAGGTGATTTATCTGTAGGAGTTGGTGGGGGACGTGTGCAGAGACTTACGTGCAGTTTAAATTACAAAAGGACAGTGTGTACGATATGAAGGACAAAGAAGAAGGAGCAGGATCATCAGGACTGTCAAATGGAGGAGATTTTAGGCTTTTTGGAAGGGGTAGCATCTCCTCCAGTTGGCACCCCACCAAATAAAAACATAAATTGTCCACTGCTCCAGCAGTCAGTAAATGGTATTCTGAGTGGTCTTGCAATAAATCAAATTTTTAGCATAAGTTTGATGGCTAGCCATATGTTCTAGTTTCAAAGTTTGATACTGAAAAAAACCCAAATTTCTAAAACATAATTCCAGCTTCTGGAATATGTAATTTACTTACTCATAAGTGTAGTAAGTGTTTTCAGTAATACTAACTAGGGGAGTTAACAGTGTAACTGTGTTACAAAAGCCACTTCTAGGTACTGTGTAGATATAGTTGCTAAGTGTCCTTGTAAAGATACCTGCTCCATGATACAGGTAAGCAAAAGTTAATCATGTAAAAATTAAGCTAGAAGGTATTACCAAATCAACAACCGTATTGTCTAAGTGAAAACAAATCTCTTTGTTTCAGATTTTCTCCCCTTTGTATGTGATGGCTGTTCAGGTGTCTTTTGGTAAGTTCATAGAATCACAGAGTATCTCAAATCGGAAGGGACCTCAAAGGATCATTGGGTCCAACTCCCTTTTCCTCACAAGACTACCTAAAACTAAACCATATGACTAAGAGCATTTTCCAGACATTCCTCGTATTCTGACAGGCTCAGTGCTGTGACCACTTCCCTGGGGAGTGTGTTCTGAGAGGGAGGTTCCCTCCTAGTGAAGAACCCTTTCCTAATGTCCAATCTGAACTTCCCCTGACACAGTTTCATTCCATTTCCTCATGTCCTGTTAATGGTCACGCAGGAGTGGAGATCAGCACCTCCCCTTCAGCTGACTCCCTTGGGGAGGTTGTAGACTGCAACGAGGTCACTCCTCAGCCTTCTCTTCTCCAAGCTGAACAACCCAGCTGACCTCAGCCACTCCTTGTGCGTCTTGCCCTCAAGGCCTTTCACCATCATAGTCACCAACCTTGGGACACCTTGTAATGCTTTCATGTCCTTATATTGAGGCACCCAAAACTGCACACAGTACTTGAGGTGGGGCTGCACTAGTGCAGTGTAGATGGGGACAGTTGCCTCCCTCAACTGTCTAGCTATGCTGTGCTTGATACGCTCCAGGGCATAGTTGGCCCTTTTGGCTGCCATGGCACACTGTTGACTCATACTCAACTTGCCATTAACCCAGACCCCCAGATCTGCTCTCCATCCTCTTGTCCCCCAGTTGGTATGTATAACCAGGATTACCTCATACCAGGTGGAGAATCTGGCACTTGCTTTTGTTAAATTTCATATGGTTGGTGACTGCTGAGCTCTCTAGTCTATCCAGATCTCTCTGTAATGACTCTTACCCATGAGGGAGTCAACAGCTCCTCCTAGTTCAGTATCGTCAACAAATTGACTTAATGTACGTTTGATACCTGCGACCAGATCATTTATGGAAACTTTAAAAGAGCACTGGCCCTAAAATTGAGCCCTGGAGAACCCCAGTCGCCAGCCTGATGTAACCCCATTTGCTATAACTCTTTAAGCCTGACCTGATCACTCATTGCTCAGCCATCATACTATGGACTTGTCTAGTGTTATGCTGGACATGCTGGACATTTTGACCAGAAGGATACTGTGAAAGACAGTTTGCTAAAATCCAAACCCACCCAGCACATCTACTGGCTTCCCTAGATCAATTAGGCAGGTGGCCTTGTCATAAAAGGAGATTAAGTTGGTTTTCCTGTAAGATCTCAGCGTGGCAGTTGCGCAGACGTAAGTGTTACATAAAACATTCTGTGACTCAATTCAGATACATTGAATTAAAAGTAGTTGTTTCATCGAAGTTGCCACTTTCTTCCGAAACTGCTGTTATGAAGCTTTGAAACCAGTGGGATTATCTTTAGGATATAGGTAGATTATTTCAGAAGGCATCTAATTTAGACCCTGTTTTGTACTTATGTTTTTTGGTGAGGGGAGTGGGGTATTTATCCCTGTAGAAAAAAGAAAAGTTTCTTCCAAAGTTCGAATCAGGGCTTGCACTTTGATTCACACTTCAGATTAGCAGAGGCCAGCTGAGATCAAGTCAGATAGACCTCAGGCAGATTTCCCTTTTAACATTAGAAGCCTTCAAGGGATTTCTGTTGCTGTGGGAGGTGATTCAAAGTCCATTAAAACAGACAAAATCCAGTTGCTTTGAGCTGAATTCTTAAGCATGCTCGTGCCTTTTTCTCTTGAAATGGTTTGATATCTTGGGGCATAAGTTCCAAGAGCTAAATGTTTTATGTAGGAAGAATATGATCAATCCATTCAAGATGTAAGTGCATAGGTTAAAACAAATTTTGGAGAAGATTCATTATTTAACTGAAGTGTTGCCATGACAAAATTTGTCAGATCATTCTTTACACACTTAAATGTTTTCACACACAGTTTTCTTTTACTGAAATGTAGATAACGCTGTGATATTTTCTTCTTTTGCCACAAAGCCTTCAGCACAGGAGCCGGGATGCTCATGGGTGTTCTGAGGTAACCTAATAATAAATGACTACCTTAAAATGAAAATTCTGTGTAACTTAACTGTCTATTTTCAGATTATATATACATATAGTGTATAAGTATAAACTATTTAATGTCTTACTGAGAACATGACAAGCTTAAAAAAAAAAATGAATCTAGTCTTTTTCGGCCTGTCAGAAGTAAATTGAGTTTGATTAGGATGATGGTGGTTTTTCTAATTCTAAGCTAAACTTAACGAGGGCAAAAGTAGGCAAGAATTGTTGGACTAGTTTTGCCCACAAAATGGAGAGCTAGCATGGTTCTTCTGGAACGCTGGGATGGTGACTTTTATCTATAGTATCTGTTTATTTACACAAAATATTTTGTACTAATACCTAGGTGAATATAAGAAACAATTCTGTGAAACCAGATCAGCACAGATCTTACCCGTGCTCATACAAGGACTGTAATGGAAAGGAGCTTTTGCCAGTTTTATGTCCTTACTGTGAAAAACATTTTTGTCTAAGGTGAGCAGAACAGAGTGTTTTAAAATCAGTACTCATTCATTAGTGTATGAAAAAGGTACTAAGAGTTTTGCGCTGTTGTTTACAGACACCGGCATCAATCAGACCATGAATGTGAGAAACTGGACACACCAAAACCTCGAATGGCTGCCACCCAGCAGCTAGTTAAAAATATTATAGGCAAGTACAGTGGGTTATATATTCTACAGTTTTCTTCAGAAGGTTATTTGAGCTTGTGGCCTCCTCTGAGGGTTAAGATTTGACCAAATAAGAAGAAAGGATGGGGGTTCCCTGTTAAGTAGCCCTAAATTCACATGTCGTTATGTAATACTGTTCATCTAAACTGAGACAACAGTAGCATATATCTATAAAGAGAATTGTAAAATATTAGCTAAGGCTCAGGTTTCTTTCAGAATTACTTGCATACAAAGACAGGCTAAGAAAGTTGGGGCTGTTTTGCCTGGAGAAGAGAAGGCTGCATGGAGACCTCATAGCAGCCTTCCAATATCTGAAGGTGGCCTACAAGGATGCCAGAGAGGGACTCTTCATCAGGGACTGTAGCGGTAGGACAAGGTGTAATGCATTCAAACTTAAACAGGGGAGATTTAGGTTACCTAGGAGGAAGAAATTCTTTACTGTGAGAGTGGTGAGGCACTGAAACAGGTTGCCCTGTTCCAGGCATGAACACTCCATCCCTAGCAGTGTTCAAGGCCAGGCTGGATGGGGCTTTGAGCAACCTGCTCTAGTGGAAGGTGTCCCTGCCCATGGCAGGGGGGTTGGAACTAGATGATCTTTAAGGTCCTTTCCAACCCAAACCATTCTGTGATTATCTTGTCCTCATTCAGCATACCTGATACCATGATGTTGGGAGGATATGAAAAGGATGGGAACCTTGGAGATGTAATGAGGCCAAATAGGCTAATTCCAGGATATATTCCAAAGATGGTATGAGTCATCATATTAACAGTAGTAATACTGTTCTCAGATTCTAAAAAAAGTGAGGAAGCAAAAAGCAAAAAATGCAGAGGATCGAAAAACAGTGCAACAGCAGCAAAAGTGGCATTAATGAAGCTGAAAATGCATGCCTGTGGGGACAAGTCCTTGCCTCAGGTCAGTGATGTTCGGTTTTAGTAGTGGCATTCTCAAAGGAAATGGAGAGTTTTCTAAGTATCTTTATCTTCATCTAGTTCTCTCAGTTTGGTTTTGGATTTAATTCTTCAAGAGCAGAATCATTTATATGTATGTTTCAGCCTCGTACGCAAAAGCAATCTTACTACTTTTACCTCTGTTACAATGTGTCTCTCTGGAATTTGGAACAGTTGGGTCAAATTCCTTTATTTTATAGGAGAAATGTATTTGCCTGCCACACAGCTGTCACCCAACACTACAAAGACATACAAGTTCATCAGTGTTGCAAGATCTTTACTTGGGGATCCCTGGCAGAATGATGACAGCACTAACTTGTAGTTGCAATTAAAGCTATATTATTTTAACAGAATTTGATGATCAGAGTAGCTCAGAATTTTTATAATCACAGTCAGTGTAGCACAGTTTTATAAGAAGTGTAGCACAGAATTTTATAGCAAAACTTAGCTTACTGTTCCTAATCACCTGGACCCTCTGCAGATCGGGTCAAGTGTTACTACTTGGCTTTCAGTATCAATACTGCACTCATGACTTTGACTCGAAATGTGCAAAAGAATCCAAGTCACTGACTTGGTCCTTGGAGGAAGCAGATGACAGTGGAGGCATCCCTGGCCACTCAGGAATCACAGACTTTGCTGTCCAGCAGTAGTTCTGGTCCAAGTCTCAGGGCTTGTAACTGCTTGATTTTATGGACAGTGCTCTGTGTGCTGCTGCAATACCCTGTTCTGTGACAGGCTCATCACCTCTGGCTTGGCTGGTGCCCGAGACCTTCAAGGCCAGTAAAGAAGGGAGTAGTTGTCCTGGTGCCCAGGGACCTGAGGCTGATAGGGAAGGGGAGAAGGAGTCTGCCTAGTGTGCAGGACCTTCAAGGCTATCAGGAGAGAGGGAGAGGGACTGATACATGTCCAGTTTGGTCACAGAGAATGTCCATTTGCCATATAAAATGGCATTAGTTATGCCAACCTTATTACCAGGGGGTACAAGTCACACATGGCAAACCCATCTTAAGGGATGCTTATCATGCTGAGTAATGCGAGGCTTCTGACACAGATAGGACACAGCTTGCACAACTCTATACCAGTCAGATTGAACCTGTCTCATACAAAACTTGGCTTTTGTTCTGCAAAGCTCCATTTTTATTTCTGCTACTTAGATATAAGAGACATATAAATCACGTTGCTGGATGAAATATGAAGGGCCTGAGGTCAGTTGTTCCTGCCTTTGGGCTGGAATAGGGTTTCAACAGTTGCTTTCAGCCTTTCATTTCTTTGATTTTCAAAGTTATGTCACAGATTCCTTTATTGTTTTTCACTACTGTTGCCAGTCAAACCTGGTGCTCAAATCTTTTCCACATATCAGGATTATGTTGGGTTTAGAAACTCCTGGATTCTTTCATTTAGGGTTTCACTTCAGATCTGTACGTATGCATCCTCTTAAAAAAACTGTATTTAAATTTTTTTTTCACCATATTGTTATATTGCAGGACATCACATTCAGGCCTGTTACACTGATTTATAATACTGAGAACATTCTATGCAATAGTGATAGTCTTATTGTTAGGTCTTGTCTTAGTAGAGTGCATTTAATTACTGTTTTTAAAATAACTACAGCTTTTCCATTACTGAGTCCGTTTATGAATTTCTTTTTTTATACTTTGTTATGCTTAGAAAACTGCTTTTGCAGAAGTGGTAATACAAAGATCTTCTTGTAGCATTCATCAGATAGCACCACTGTAATAAATATGTGCTGGAGGGAAAGTGATTAATTTCAAATATTGTGGAACATAATTTAAAAAATCCACTCTCAATGTATGTAAGAAACTTTTAAAAGTTACTTCCTAATTCCAAAGCTAGTAAGCTCTAAAAAGTATAGCAGAAATTACTGTATGCTAATTTCTTGTACTGTTCATTTTATGTGGATATTAATGTGGATATTAATTGTTTAATCATCCAGAATAGGATAATTCTCACTGATAAATTAAGCCTATTAATCTCCAGCACCTCTATTTAAAATGGTATTTAAATTGCTTCACAGACTCCTCCTAGCTGCCTTCTGCCTACCTTGTTCTAGCTTGATGAGATTTTTTTCAATATGAATTTTCTGGAATGCATCTTAAGCACATCAGTTCTCTCATCATTGTTATAAAGAAGATTGACACTGCTTATTTAAACTCACCTTCTTTTCCCCAGAGCAGTTATTATTGTCCAGCAAACCCAGGGCAGACACCTTTTTATGTTTCTCTATATGTAACAGTCTAGCTGTGGGACTCTGGCTCAAGATGTTGTCTCCACCTCTCTGAACTTCCTGTCACACATGTGCCTGCAGCTGGAGGGGATTTGACTTGATCTGTCGAATCTGGGGCCTTGGTCTTGATGGAATAGTACAAGTTTCAATTGGTAATTTTGGGGTTGAAATTTAAAGGTTTTTTTTACTGAAAAACTATTAATGTGAATGACTGAAATTATGTGCTGCTTCTGTGAATAATTTTTTGTTTATTTTTCATGTTTTTCTAGACAGAAAGAATTTACTTTCAAGTATTTTTACCAAAGGGAAACAAAGAGAAAAGCAAGCCCATGTTCTTCTGCAGTAAGTGGAGTATTGGCAAAGTAGTAGATTTTGCAGCTTCCTTAGCAAGCCTTAAAAATGACAACAACAAATCAACATCCCAGGTAAGTCAGTAATAATAACAAACATTTTCCAGGCTGCTGGATTTTTATTTTGTTTTGGTGGTGTTTTTTAACCATTTAGTCTCTCCCCCACCCAACTCCTTGCATCTCAAACAGGCAAATCCTGATGTTAATTTCTGCGTTGTTTGTTTTACAGAAATTGAGTTTATGCCATGCTGCCACTGGAGAAGCCTTGCCGTTTGAGCACACATTGGAAACATGGCTGTCTGATAAAGACTATCCATTGTACAATGGTGGAAATCTAATTTTAGAGTATCTTAATAATGATGTTCTATCTATAGAAGATACAGAGTCATACTTTAGTTAATCAGTAAATTATCACAAATAAACAAAAAAAGATTTATTTATTTATTTATTTATTTTTTAAGAAAAGTGGTATTCAACAAAAGCAAGTCCAGTTTTACTGTAAAATCACTGGTATGCCAGAGTCTGTCCTCAGTTGTAAAGACAGGCTTCCCATTTCTCGACTGACAGAAGAACTACGTCCTGAAAGGAAAATTAGTTATTAACTAATATCACAAATACTCACTTTCTATAATAAATTTTTGCTTTATTTAGCTGTATCATGTCAATATTTTTTCTTAAATTTTATATTTTGTGTAAATTTGGAGTTAAAATATATATTAAAATTGATAAATAATGAAAATGTAAACTTGCGGTATATCGATTCTCTGAAGGAAAGAAACACGCTACGCTATTGCAGCATCTTTTTTATACCTACAAGAACATATTTCACTGAGTTTGGCATCCAGCACTGTCCATGCCCGCAGTCCATGTTTTCTTCTAATAGCGTAACAACATGAGAAAGAAAGCTTTCTGAAGTAAAAGTAAATTCACACAGATGTCTGTCTTGTGTTTGTAAATCTCAGCATTATTTTGTGATTAGGAAGGGGATTAAAAAAAGAGAGAACCTGAAATTATCCTTTCCTAATTCTTGTGTAGAAGAGGAAGAAATACGGTAAGAGAGGAAGAAATGCAGTTCAACTAGAAGCACAGCATTCCACAGCTGCATTTTCATCCTGGCATTTCCAACCTTATGTATTGTTTTTTCTTCAGCAATCTGCAGCATTGACTTACTAAGGTTTAAAGCTGTTGTTTACAGTGATTGTACCTGAGGTTACGCCTCCAGGTGCATAAGTATAGAATTAGTGGATTTCTCAATTGTTAGTGTCTTGAAGGTGTTTGGTGCTAATGAAGAAGATGGTTCAGAATACCAGTAGTTGGTGTAGTCCAGTTTTTGGATCTCTTGGATTTCAAAGCTGGATTATAAAATTCAAAGCAAATGTAGCAAGGAAGATCCATAAGATTATTTTTACAGCTGTTGTACTGCAATGTAAACATGCAATATTGCACACAAATTTAGGGCCAGCACTTTCCTAACCATAAGTTGTGACGTATAACCAAGGAGCTTTACTTCATCCTTCTTGAATGGGCCTGTTACAACCTAAACTCATTCTGCAGTGGCCTTGACCCCACCTCTAAGCTAGAGAAGCAGAACCCTTTCAAAACTGATGCCTCCAATTTTCCTTAATCTCTTTACAATTACTTAGCCAATGTTCTTCAATTGGGAGGAGCTGGAAAGAAAATCCTACAGTGGCAGAAAGGACAATGTATGAGCAGGTGTAAACAGCAGTGGAAAGCACAAGCCTAAGCTCCATTTGAAAAGCTGTAGTCCATTTCTACTGCTCTGTGGTGCTGTTCAGTGCAAGTGAACTATTGAGGCATGCCTGGTCATCAGATACTAAATAAGTTAGCAAGATTTTTCAGCTGCAGTAAGGTGCAGCATGTAACGTGTGATCTAGTGGCTTGTGAATAGGGTACAGTATTCAAAGTGGGAGAAATCTATGCCTCCCCCAGCTTGTCTCACTGCTTGATCAGTGTGACGCGCCTTTCAACACATTTTAAAAGAGAAAGCTACCTTTCTTTTTCAGACATGGGGCACTTTCTTCCAGGCAATGATCTTCACGTGCTGTTCTCATATTTGCAAGGATGTTTGGCTTGTGTGTGCACTGTGACTTAACATACTCAGTTAATGCCTAGAGGTGTAACTGGGTTGCAGGGAGACTGAATGTCTACATTGTTCAAAAATGTCAAGTATGATGCATTTCAGGGACATTGTCCTGCCATTGCAGGGAAGAAACTCGAAGGGGAGGACAGAAGATGTAAGACTAAGTTATATTGCTAGTCATGTGGAAATGGAGTTTTGCTTCAAAGAACTAACACAAGGAAGAGAAGTGTACTCAGAGCAACAACTGGAGGTGAACACTGCACCAGAGTCTGCTGGGCAGTCACAAATCTGGATCTGGTGTTTTGGCTCATTCATTTATCGTGTTCACTAACTCTAAGAAAAATGGCCCAGGTGTTTCTCTAGTACATGCTTGCCTAAAGGGAACCATTGTCCACTGGTTATAGCTAGATTCTGGTTCACTTGTACTGGTTTGAAAACAGCCACGCATGACATACCCATTCTAGTTACAGCTGCAGTAAAAAAATACCTCACAATGTAAGAAGAGTCTGCCTAGCATCTTTTTCAAAGGTACACTCCATTGGCAGAACACTAATGCTCAAGTAAAGCATCACAGATTTCAATACTAACGTATAGTATATCTTTATATACCTTTATATACAACCTTTATAACAACTTAGGAGTATCTGGAGGATTATTATATATGTATTCTTATATATTGATTGAGCTTACATAAACTCCAGAAACATCTCAGTAAGCATTTCACTGTTGTCTTCTTTTTCTTTACAGTAGTTTTTACTGTAGGTGTAACATGACTTAGATATTGATAAATTATTTTACTGGATGTGGTGTGGGTGTCACACAAAGGAGGGTGCTTCTGGTTTCCATGAAGAAAAGGGTCTTCAGTGGCTAGATATTTCAGAAATCCATTACCTGGAAGCAGGAAGCACACATGCATTTCTCTACTTCGCCCCACCTATCCCTCCAGCTGGTTGTCATCTCCCTTTCCAGTGCAAGAGGAACAGTTCCCTTTTCCCTTGTTACTTCTTTTCCTCCCTTTCCTCTGCAATTCTCTAGTCACCTTTCTTTGCATCTTAGGCTGTTCTGGTAAGGAATATGCAGTAAGAGGCCAACCATCATTGTGGCACAGTTAAGTCAGGGAAGAGCCCCAAGCTGAACTTGTTCCTGCTGCTGTTGTTAGAGAACCAAGGGTACTTACTGTAGCAACTTCTGCTGCTGCTGACCAGGGTAAATTTTTTCAGCATAAAATCCTTTTACTCTAGTTACCCCCTTCCTTCTGCCCCTGAATTTTCTGCCCTAGCAGTTACAGGCAAAATTATTAAAATAACATTTGTTGGGGCTAGAGGGAAGATCAAACTTGGGATGCAGGAAGTAAATCTTTGGGGAGATCTCAAAGGTTTTACCAGGAAGGTTGCTTTCATCACTTGCCAGTTATTGCTAAGGGCTAGCCGCCCGTAAATGGCAGTACAAATACAGCAAGTCACAGTTGATAAGACTCCAAAAATTTTCACATTGATCTTATTCCAGGAATGTGTCTGGGGTTGTATACAGAAGCTCATCCCACTTAGTTTTCAAAAACTGAGAAGCAAAACTAAATTAAGCTAGTCTGACAGAAAAATAATCGAGAAGAGATGAAAACTGTCCTAATCATCGACTCTAGGAACAGAAGCAGAAACTTTCCCAGAGTGTCAGTATCTTGCCTAGGCTAGAACTGCTCACATTTCAAATGTTTAGCCTCTACCATCTCTTTACCTAGCATATACAGTTGTTTGGGTTTTTTTTTAATAAAGCTTGTTATCTTGGCACATTTTTGTAGGGGAAGTTAAACAACTCAATTTGGGGAAAAAAACCAAAACCAAAACCAAACCAACAACTCAAAACACTGTGGGAAAGACATCAACATTTGAAACCATTGTTAATTTTATGAGCGCGTGTTTAGAAGTGGCTGAACTGTTTAACTTCAAAGTGAATAAATAAAAGTTAAACTCACTTCTAGTAGAGGCAAAGGAAATGTATGCAAAGTTACTTAACTGACAGGAGCAATTTGTCAATAGAAATATTTAATGATTTTATAATAAACAGTATTTTCATCCGAACTATTAAAATGGGTAAAAATATCAATCTTTTTAGTTGTTATATCTGTATAGTAATTTTAGAGAATGCACAAAGTCAAGGCTTTGCAAACATTTTACCACTGAGAATGCTCTTGGTAACAGCTCCTGGCCTTGTTCCAGTTCAAATACTGCTACAAAATCACTTGGCATTTGTGATATACCCAAACACAGTTTGGAAACGGTTATGTTAACACCAAGAGCTCAATTTTGCTCAGACGAGTGACCTGTTAAATCATCTGGGCAACGCTGTAACAAATAAGAAACAATACATCACACTAAAAAAGCAGGCAGTAATCTCTCCTACTTTTATTTTCATCTTTTGTGTGTCTGTTTTAGAAAAGTATGTACCCTGGAGTGTCATCAGAATGATCTGGAGACTTTTATCAGTAGATCACCTGTGTTCATCTCGCTTATCAGGTGTCACATACAAATACGCCTCCTTGCAGATCAGTTCTCCTCATAGTAGCTTCTTTCATTAAATACAAAATTTCCTTTTAGCTGGAATTGAAACTGTGGTTTGGATTGGGAAATTCTTACACTTCTGAGGAGAGAATTCCAGGCATTTACTTCTGATGATTTTAGGATCAATGCAGAATTTGAAATCCCCTTATAGACCCTGTAAAACACTTGCTGCAATGTTAAGTGTATTATTAATATCAAAGAAGCCATTTTCCGTAGTACTGGTGCAGTCCCATACAGCTTGTACTGGGGCATGTTTGGCAGCTTGCCTCAACAAAAGATGAATCAGAGCTGAAGTGCCTCTTTCAATTGGCCGTATGCTTTTAGTATAACCTTATAAAGAATGACTTGCAAAATAATAAAAATGCACTTTGCCATCTCTGTGGTTCTTTAATGACTGTGAATACTTTAAATAAACAGGCTAATAGGACTATTCCTGTTTATGAAATGGGAAGTAGGAAACATGAAAGGGTGTAGTAACTTGTCTTACACAACAGCACTGCTGGGCATGGAAACCACACCATCACTGATGTGGAAAGGACAGAAGTACCACCATGTGGTCTTGGGCAAGTGCCTCACTGTGGGTTGGACTGGCACTGGGGGAAAGGGTAAGACTACTTCTTTTGGTGAGGTAGATATTTTACGCCAGCTTTAAGTCCTAAAGCAAACTACAACCTCTGTCCTGTCTGCAACAGACCATCAGTTTACATATGACAGTAAGTTACATCAGTTGCAATTTGTGAACACAAGACACCACCTCAGTGTTTTACTTGATGAAAGAC